ATAGTATAACATAATTAAAATTAAAACTAAAATTGTAGAATAAATATATTGATGTAATCGACTTTTAGGCTGATTTGGTTCTTGTTTGTTTGAGAAAGCTGACAATGGGGTTACATATATATTGGCTGTTGTTTGAGTAAGCTGACATTGGGGTTAAATATTGGCTCTACTTTGCTTTCTGTATTTTAAACTAGTTAGCAGGCTTGCTAAATAAATGTCTGTCAATCAAAGTATCCCCAGTGTATAAAGTCAATAATAACACATGGGTCGCGACTGTCTAATTAGTGAATTCAAACATATTAACATCATAACGAACATGTACACCGTGTACAGTTATCGCCACTTGACGAGTAACTCTTCTCTGAAAGGAGTTAGGAAATAACTTCTAAAACGACATTATGTAATATTCATCACACTCGATACAGTTTTCTGAAATTTTGTTAAAAGTTTTTTCCATCAAGATAATATTTTTCAGTGGAATTAAGTCAACGCCATCTTATTGTACCGAATTATGCCGAGCAACAGAGTGAATCAATATATTTAATTGTGTGTGGTAAATTAGACGATCATTACAGAATAAACTGTTTCTTTTTTTCCGAAACTTGAAGTTTTACAGATTTTTAAACTGTTTTGATGAAGAGTTATTGTGCCGTTACACCTTGCCAAAGCCATAAACTCATGTAATAGAAGTGTTCTAGAGAAGCGTCACGTTGTTAGTTCTCTTTTAAAAAAAAAAAATTGTTGTCCTAATGGAAGCTAAACTCAAACGCAGTCGGTGTCCACAAATCATGGCGCTACTCAGGATCCACTTTTAGGATCCCCATACCACTGCCGAAAAAGTGACAATGAGTTATTTTGTTTTACCGACATGACAAGAAATCCATAACTTACGTTACTCATACAAAAAAATAAACATGAAAGAAACAAATCCATAACCATGTTCTGAGAGTCAAGTGAAGGAGTCCATATAGAGACTCGAACCCCGAACCCCCATTTACAATACAGTCACTCTTACTCCATGAACCCCCTAGCGGTAAACTCCTGGCCCAGCCCAGCTTAAGTTATATCCAAATAAAAATTAAGGGGGGGGGGGGGGGGGGGGGGGTTACTGTATGTATAAGAAATACAGTAGAACTCTCTATATTGTTTTATTATTTGTTTAATTCCTAAAACAAACAACTGGGCTACATTGTACCTAGCGGTAATTCTCTCGCCAAGCCAAACCAAGTTATATCCAAATCGGGATTAACGGGAGGTTACTAGTGTTTTGCTGTGGGGCATGGATCCTTAAAAACAACTGTGCTGCATTGTATCGAGTGGTTATTCCCTGGCCCAGCCAAACTACTGTTATATCCAAATAGAAATTAAGGGGAGGTTACTAGTGTTTTGCTCTGGGGCAAGGATCCTTAAAAATCAACAGAGCTACATTGTACGGAGTGGTAAGTTATCCAAATCAAAAATATGGGGAAGGTATCCTTAAACAGACCACTGAAAAAAAGGGAAATTGATTACCAACGCAATATAAAAATCAAAGGGAATTAAAGTTAGTCATAAATAAGGTCCTTCCTCGTCTGTCACTTACTCCGGCCTAAGACCAGCAAGATCACAGCCACCTTGAGACCACTTGAACGATCTACAACCCAACAGGCTGGCCCGCCACGGTTTATTAGAGACCAAGCCAAGTAGGCAATATGGTCAGGAAACAATCGGGGCAAACTAGAAATACATTCTATTGTAAGCCTGGAGCATAAGAGCCGGGCTCTCTAAGTACCCGAATCTGACAGACAATTCCACGACCTTAAGAAAGGGGTTATGAAGATGAAGATGTTTCTGTTTGTTTGTAGAGCTCTGTCAGGGAGTTTATTGTGATATGTGAGATACAAGTCAAGAACAACGGAATGTTTGTCCACAAAAGAAAGAAAAAACACACGGACATATGCTCAAAAACTCAGATTGCAGGAGAAATCTGATATCGAAGGGAACAAACAACAGCAGTAATGAAGGAAAATAAAAATAAAAAAACATCAACAACAACAATCAGGCGAAATAATGTGTCTGTATTGAAACCAAAAACTGAAAATTTACGACAAACACCGAACATTTACGACAAATAACGGAAGTTTACGGCAAATACCGAACTTTTACGACAGGTACCGGAAATGTCCAGTGTCCAAGGTTATAATTTTGTCTAAGTATATATCACTTAAACTGATAAAAACGTATCGAGATTAATACGTAATTTAACAGATGATAAGGTACAGATTACTGATATTCAGTTAAATTGATGTGATAAATTATATGTCTTGCTCTACTAGGCTATACATCAGATCGCAATACAAAACGACTGCACGCTCCCATACACGCAGCAAATACGTAGATCGACGTCAGATAAATTCGTGACCTTAAGCTTTCATCCTTTGATTAATATATTATTGGTCAGTCACCGCAACAGGACGTTAAGAATACGTAACTATATTTTTTCTCCTTTTTATGAAGAAAAACAAATCGGTCATGTGTATTTGTGCATGATCAGCGTGTTTAGTGATTTACATTATCATTCATGACAAGTATGAAATCATAACCTAGGCTCTTTGTCTGAAGCGTTATTGAAATGGAAATGATTCTTACAGCCGAGTTCATATTGATACCCACAGGCTAATGGTCAACCAGTTTCTTCATTGGTCATTCAAATGGTCAAGCAACGAGAGAAATGTGCGGATGACGTCAGAAGACCAGTTTATCAAATACGCCGGCATTATTATGTGTGGTCGAAGACATTTGTCTTTGGAATGTTTCAGTCTCATCCGGATTGACCAGCGGTCAAGCTTTGTCCGAAATCATGTCCAATCAGATCAAAACCTTACCCATCTATCAACAACACTTCGGCCATATGAGTGGTCAATATTGATATTATTCGCAGTGATATACGTGTTATGGTCAGTTCCGGACAGATAAATAGACGCTTGACCTTCCATCAGGCGGTTTTACATAAATCTTCTAATGCAGCTATGAAATAGCAGTAGATTCTTTTCCAACAGGAGAGGTTTCTCGCTCCATCAATAAAAGGACATAAAACCAGTTTCGACCGGTCGCGGCCAGCTGAGAGAGGTCAAGCGCAATCGACAGCATTTACATTAATAACATTTTGATATCATATTTAATATATTATATAATATCATTTTTTTTTTTATACAAAAACAGCGTACAACGTTCCAAGACCGACTGGTCCGTTTCTCTACGACTGAGTGAATTATCAGTGTATTGTTTATCTGTACAACGATGTGACGATTTTGGTATATCCGTCCCTGTATAAAGTGATTAATGTTATTGCCAATGTATAACGTTAAACAAAAAACGTGAAACAAATTCTCCTTAAAATAACCATTTGAACAAATATATTGCTATATTTAGAAATGTGACTTTATGTTCTCCCTTTTCCCGGGCCAAGATATTTTTATTTTATTTGTGTTATAACTTTTATTTCAGTTCATAAGTAACAAACACTAGGTAAGCAGATAAAATTGATTTCAGCTGCTTAAAACTATAAAAAAAATCTTGAATAGGAACAACTCATTTTAATTTCAAAATAAAAATGCTACATTATACACATAATGTATACCTGTATAAGAAAGAGTGTTTCATCTGGGGTACCGTTCCGTATTGGGTGCCCGAATGTTCCCTCTTACTGTTGCTGGATCTTACAACAACAACGAGGCTTAACGAGATATCGGGCGTAATAAACAGATTTTCGTTTTCACATTGCCTTAATGTATAACAGACAATTCTCATTTCACGACAGCGAGGCAATAAACTTTAGCCGTACTTTGGACAATGGGATGAATCTCCGGTACGAATAGTCATTAACGCCCTGCCAGAGCAAGTGGTCATTACTATGGCTTGACCACTCTTGACCACCAGCGGTTATAAAACCTTGTTTAGGACATGGAAATGACACCACCTGACTGGAATCAACGTCTTAATAACGCGGAGTAAAGACATCAGTCAAGATCTGCACGACGCAATCATTCAGATTGATTTCTTTTCGTTTGGACAACCGGAAAGTAACAATAAGTGACGAGGGATAGCGGGATGTACAATCTACGCTACTCGGCTCGTTTATTGCTTTGAACAATCGGCTGACAGACGAGAGATTCCGAACAGACAGGACAGATACAATTATGTTCATTTTATGTCTGTTTTGTCCGGTCTGAGATTTGTGGCCTTGAATACCGGGTTGAAGGACAAGAGATTCCGAATGAATCATGACAATGAAAATCAATATGATAAATGCAGATGTTTTCCGTGTGGAACTGGAATTGTTTGGAATCCTTTTTTTTATATAGAAGCTTTTCTTATAAATTGTAGTTTAATTGCGTTTAACCAAGTTTCAATTCTTCAAAAATTTAAGTTCCAGGGAAGCGTTTTGTTAGATGTGTTGTCGGTGCTGTGGTCTCCATTCCCTACATTACAGTTTACCCTATTCTCACATGCACTATTTCAACTGTACCTTATTCCTACATGGACTATATTCGTTTGTACTCCATCACCTTTTCGCGTAGAATCTCAAAACCTTCATTTCATATTTATCAAATTTTATATAGCATATACTTTCCTTACTTCGTTTTTTTCAGTTGTCTTAAATGAATAGACAGAATCTTAGTAAGTACGATTAACGTATCTTTTTGTTTTGTCGATATTTTGTGCTACCTTTATATACATTTGGAGAGGGTAGGTCTTGAGAAAACAAATTCTTACATTTTAGCAATATGGTGAGTAGGCAGAATGATACAGTGGCGGATCCAGAGACCTATCTTGGGGGGGG